CAAACTGAAATGGACCGTAACTTAAGGCAATAAGACTTTTAAGAGTGCAGTTTTATTTGTATTATTACTAATTCTGTCATTCAACAAAAATAAAGAAAAATGAACTTTATTTCAAGCACGTTAAAGTCTTTGCGTTCGTGGATTTGTATTGTGACCACAACATTCTTCCGGAATTAGTATAACTAATTTGATAAATAATCAGTGCATATAAATGTTTAACTAAAAATTTAGTGTATGTTAATGTTAGATGAATATATTGTTCGATTTTATCTTTGTTTCGCGTTTTTTTTTAATAAAATTAAATTTAGCGACATTTGGGGACTTTTTTGTTACTAAATTCATGTATAACTAGGGAATTTTTGACGGCAGTCTAGAGACCTACGGTAATTCAATGTGGCAACATTGATTACTGTGTATGTACTAGAGACATTGCACTCTCGAGCTCGGACGCTGCGGCTAAGGTTATGGGATTATTTAATTATTTATTTACGATGTAAATAAACAACTTATGGATAAACTGATATGGGGTGCTGATTGCGCATGTGAAAATCTACAAATTTACATTGTTTAATTATTCTTTTACCATTATTTTTAGCAAAAAATAAAAATTTATTATTTCACAGCACCCATCTTACTTTTTTAAATATCTAAACAAATATTAGACGCGCAAACAAATAATTAGTACCGATAAACATAATTTTTTACGCGCAATCGATTTATACTAGTCGCATATTTAATAATTATTTCCGGGTGCCAACTTCATAGACCTCTGTTTACCATCATCTGAGCCTTGAAATCAGTGTTACCACATTGAATTACCGTAGGTCTCTAGACTGCCGTCAAAAAGTCTATAGTTATACATGAATTTAGTAACAATAAAAGTAGCCAAATGTCGCTAAATTTAATTTTATTAAAAAACCCGAAACAAAGATAAAATCCAACAATATATTCATCTAACATTATATATATATATATATATATATATATATATATATATATATATATATATATATATATATATATATATATATATATATACATGAACATAATAATGTTATCCCCAACTTAACAAAAAACTCGTTAGATTTAGCGACAAAGTCGCTAAAGTGGCAACACTGGTAGCAATTACAAACAGTGTTGTCAATTTAGCGACTTTGTCGCTAAATCTAACGAGTTTTTTGTTAAGTTGGGGAGTTTAATTCAATTTTAGCGACAAAAAATATTCTGGCGACTTTTAGCGACATTTGCACTTACTTCAATTTTTGTTACCATCTGACTACTTTAGGCGTAAGGAATACTATACTCTATCCATTAAAGAAATAATAAAATGTAAAGGAACCGAAAAAAAGGTTCTCTGGATGTCGCTTATACAATAATAAACACATTAAGAGAAGCACAACTACATTCCATCACCTATCCTATTATAAATAACATGTACAACATTATTATGCTCATATTGCTTGTATACAATATGTAACAAAAACCCTGTGATTCCCGTTAAGTGTGTTATCAGAATCGGTATCCGAGAGTATAGAAATAATTTTTTTTTCAATAAAAAAACATTTAAAAAAATTAATTTTAATTAAAAAAAAATTTTCAAATTTTATGTGGTTTTATTTCATCTAACTCACACGAGTATCGGCAAAGCGGGGTCTTTGACAATCTTCTTACTCCTCGGCCAATGCAGAGATATTAAAACTACATACAATTTGCAAACTATTAATTAAAAAATTTTCATTCAAAATAATTTTTTTTAAATGCGTTTTTTTTTGAAAAAAAAAATATTTCTATATGCTTGGATACTGATTCTGATAACGCAGTTAACGGGAACCACAGGGTTTTTGTTACATGTTGTATATATACATATATATGTGTGTGTGTGTGTGTGTGTGTGTGTGAGAATGAATATATTGTTCGACTTTATCTTTATATCGCGTTTTTTTTTTTAATAAAATTAAATTTAGCGACATTTGGGGACTTTTTTTTGTTAATAAATTCATGTATAACTAGGGACTTTTGACGGCAGTCTAGAGACCTACGGTAATTCAATGTGGCAACACTGATTGCTACTGTTCAGATCACCCGCCTAAGGGTATTACATATTATTCTCCACTCTCCAGTATTATATATTAGTTCCTCTATGGGGTATTAGTGTTCTGTGGTTTAGATTCAGTCTATATCATAGAGGAAAGTAATATTGTATAATTAACTCCAATGTCCAAGATACACACGGTGCGCCCTCCTTTCTGCCAAGGAGGGTCGCGTTCGTATACGGCTTAGAGATCTGTAGTTAGACCGTTAAGCTAGTTCCTAAAAGGCGGTGTTTAGTGGGTAAAAGTCTCCACATCACAAACCTTCTCCAACCATGCAGCCGGCTGCGTGGTATGCTATGAGCATTCACCGCCTCCCTCCCCCGCTTTCCGGAGGGTTGCCCATATTTGCTTCGGGCGCAAAAAAAAAACCAAGATACAAGAGTTATTCGGAATACTCGGAATCGTATCTTCGGAATAACCGGAATCGTATCAAAAGTATGAATGGAGCTTAAGGAGGAGCCTCCTTCGTGAAGCCACTTCATTTGAATTTAAATAATTTATTAATTTTATGATAATTGATAGAATCAGGCGTTACTTTGCGAAAATCCATTATAACAATTACTAATTGTTATAATTTTATGATAATCTAAGGATAAAATTAATTTTTAAATGTTAATTCTTTATAGAATTAATAAATTGTTTAAATCCAAATTCACGCCATTAGATGTTGCGAACAATCAACTGCACTACAGCTGCTGGCAGCGCATGTCGGAATAAACCCTTAGGATGTGTTCAAAAACCAACTGGGCGTTTTAAAATCAAGTGAATAATTGTCAGAACAACGTGCGCTGGATACTAGCCGCTTTATGAAGCAAATAAAACTATTTTTTCCAATCATATAATTATAGCGCCCCCTGAAACAGTCGCCCGGGGCGGGTGCCCCGGTTTTCCCCCCCCCCTAGATCCGAAGCTGCATAGCGCTAATTCACTAAGACATGACGTTGAGTATGCTTGTTACACTTAAAAGTGCTACAAAAAACACTCATCCCAATCCGAAAAATAGACGACGCATCGTCATGCGCTACGACGCCGCACACAAACGGTATGGATGTGCGATGTCCACGGGAAAGCAGTACTGCTACAACAAACCTGCTTACCGCCAGCAACAAACCCGCTTACCTAGCTAAGCAGTTTTAAGGCCGCACCAACTACCTTAAAACTGCTTAGGTGTGAGTCAAACCAAGACGCAGAGAGCGCCATTGACAATAACATCCCACCAAACAACCATCGCAGATATGCAATGCTGCAGAACGCAACAAGCATCAATACGACTATCGTCGGGCTTACACCATCCCAAGGTCCCCCATAAGTCCCAGCAGACATAACCACCCGGATACCTCCATCAACCAGAACCACAAGAATGCGTCGAATCAGGCACAGCATATCCACAGATCAATCACAAGATGCAATACCGCAAGTAGCAGTAATCATCAATGCAACTATCATACGGATGGTGCCCCCTCACAACACACCCACATGATCCCTATCGACTTTGGTAACAAAGTTTGTATTGTTGTTAACTAAAAACTACACCAATGTATCGTAGTAACACATTATTAAGACGCCAGTGGACAAAACTCCACATGTCATAGCGGTAATGCACTAAGACATGAAGTTGAGTATGCTTGTTACACTTTGCTATCAAACACACTTCCCAATCTGAAAGATAGATGACGTATCGCTATGCGCTAGATGCCACCCATAAATGGTATGGGTATACAATGTTCACGGGAAAGCCATATTGCTACAACAAACCCGCTAACCACCAGCACTAAGACTACTTAAGTGTGAGTCAAACAAGATGCAGAGAGCGCCATTGAGAATAACATCCCACCAAACAACCATCGCAGATATGCAATGCCGCAGAACGCAACAAGCATCAATACAACTATCGTCAGGCTTAGACCATCCCAAGGTTCCCCATAAGTCCCAGCAGATATAACCACCCTGATACCTGCATCGACCAGAACCACAAGAATGCTTCGAATCAGGAGCAGCACACCCGCAAAGCCATCACAAGACGCAAGTAGCAGTAAGCATCAAAGCAACTATCATACGGATGGCGCCCCATTACAACACTCCCACACTATCCCTATTGACAAATACTTAATTGTATATCAAGTGGTGGATCACAGCATTTCTTCCTCTTTAAAACATTTTATAATCTATTGATTACAATAAAACTGATTGAAAGTGTTTTCATTCACTGCTGAGCATGTGGTAATTATGCACTTAAAATTGCAATTGATTTTATTGGTGTCAGTGAGGATCGAACCAAGATTGGTTACATAAATTAAATAACTGCATATTACAACTATGCCAAATTTCAAGCATCTTCTTGAAAAAGTCTGTGTGAAACACATTTTTGTGGCAGACACCCACATAATCAAGTGATTCTTCAAGATGAGGATAAACGCTAGACCATGCCAAGAAAGCCATGGGGGTAAAAGCTAGTTTAAGACAAAAAATAAAACCATCTCAATTATTTATTTTAATCTTAATTATTATTTACTACTTTTAATGCTTTTTCATTTTTGTGTTCAGAAGTAAAATCTGCATAACTTTTATTTTTATCTTCATTCCATACACCATTTCCAGTAAAATAATGATTTTTTTCCAGTAAATATAGAGCCAAGCTTAGTTTTTGTGAACTGCTTAGTTGAGATAAATCTAAACTATCATGAGAAAGTTGAATGTGTGCTTGATCCTTTTCTAATATGTTTATGACATCTTTTATTTTGTTCCATGGGTACAGCAAAATTGGACAATTTTCATAAATATCTTGTGGTGAAAACTTATTTGCCAATTGGTCAAAAACAAATTTTATTTGTACCAATGGTATATTGATCCAAAATGGGTGCTTTTTGATTGCCTGTCTTATGTCACTAGATTTGAATGTACATCCTAATGCCTGTGAAATACAGAACACTAGGTCTTTTCCTTTTCCTGAACGATCTCCAGGTGATTTTTCGAATGTTTCATAACGTACTGCACTACCAGATAAAATATTTAAACTCAGACATTTTTTGTTAGAACTAGATAATTTAAAGAGTCTTTTCATAGCTGTCTTATTATAATGTATCATTTTAAGGAATCTTGGATGTTTAAAGTATGTACAAAATTCTGGAATACTTTGAGCTTTCTGTAATCTTTCTCTTACAGTTTTAGGACTCAGAGTATAAATTTCAAAACATCTCATCTGTGCTTCATTAGATACATTAAATTCTTTTAACACCTTTCTTATTTCTAGCATAGAATAATAGCGCTTCATTGCTATTTTAGGATGTAACCTTACGATTTCTTTGATATCAATTCCTCCAATAGATCTAAATTTATATAATATGTTTTTTAAATTATCTGGGTCAGCGTGAATTAAATATAAGTTTGATTTTATTTTGTAATGAGGTATCCTTAGCTCTGTTTGTAAGATATTTAAGGTTTCATTAATAACCTGGAGTGGACGATGTTTTATTGTTGGGTATGTTTTCAGGCCTCTGTAAAATTCATCACAGCTTAAGTCTAGCATCAGTTCAAGGTATCTCTGAATTATTTTTAGCCTGAGGGAGTATAATGAAATTGTGTTTACATCACCGTAAACCAATGTGGTAAGTGATGTTGGCCACTGTGTCATATAACTTGCAAGTCTGTTCTCAACATTAACACAGTTTAAAATTAAGCCATTACTCTTCAATTGTCCTATTGTATTTTGTTTAATCAAATTCAAATAGGACAGCAAATATGCAGGTGTAATATTTTCTATTCCACATTCTTGCAATACTTTATATCGAAATCTTAATGTAATTGGTAACCAGCTACATAGCGCAGGGTATGAAATCATAACATCTTTCGAAAATCCAAGTTCATCAAAAGTTTCAATTAAAGCTCTAATATTTTCTTCATTTAATTTTTTCAGAACTGGTTGCTTTACTAGTAAATGTTTAGCTTTAATCTCGTCGATACTAAGATATTTAGAAAGCCTACACACATCGTAATCAGAAACATTCGAAACATTTAAACACAAATATCGAAAGCTACATGAAAAGCGACTGTAAAGATATATTTGCCTAACAAACATTATTTATAAAATCGAATGATTGATGACCAAATAGTATAATAAGGTACAGTATACAGGACGCATGACAACAGAGTACAGTGGAGTATAGTGATGTGTCCCTCACTCATGAGTTACCTCTAGGCATGTCGATCTTAAATCGATTCTTTGGAGTAAAATAATCGATTTTTAGATCGATTCGGAGCACCGCATCGATTCACTGAATCGATCCAAAAATCTCTCGGTTCGGACTGATTCATCTGATTCAAGAACTAGCGATAAAATTCCCAAACTGGCTGGGGTCAGATATCGCAGTTTATTAATTTTTGCTGTTGGGAACGCAAAAACAACCAGTCGCACTTGGTTGATAATTTGACCTCAATATATATTTGAATAAAATAAATATTTATGAACGCATCCAACGATATCGAAAAGTCATTTCATCATTCATCATTTCATTTTCATTTCTAAAATTCTAATTCTAATCTTACCTGTGGAATGTTGGTCTAATTTAATCTGTGCTGTGAACGAAGACTACATATACATACTACAATATAATATTATAGCTTTAGTTGTAGACGTGAACCTGTTTGAACTGTGAACTCGTGAATTTACTTTATTTATTATCAAAAATATACATACTGTGAGCTGTAAGTACAGACAGAATACTTTTTTAAATACCTAGATACTGTAAATAAATATTATATGTTGAAGTTTATAGAGGTTTATAGTAAGGAAATAACCAGTATTGTGTTCGTGTATCATTCACTTCAATTTGATAAATAGTGAGTTATTATATTGAAACAGATTTATTAAGAAATGTACGTTGCAGTTTGAAATTTCGTTAAACTATTGTTGTTGATTCTAGCCTAAAATGTCAAATAAAAGTGATACATGGAATCACTTTGTAAAAAAAGAACCGAGTGGCTTACGTGCGAACCATAAGCCTCCTCTTTTGAGGTCCTCGTGACAGAAAATTTAAAGAGTTACTCGAATTTCAACATTATACCACCTCACTCACTCGTTTACGACCTCACACATGTCGTCTCATGTCACCTAAATTACAATACGAAACTTATCGCGAGTGAGTGAGCGAACGACTCAACTAAATAATTATTTGGTGAAGTAGGTACATCGATCACTAATAAAAACCCAGATACACAATCAGTGACAAAAAGCGACCTCACCAAATGAGCACCCATTCGAACATTTGGGTGCGCTTTTAATTTAGTTACATTCGAATACTCCGACGGCGAACATGCCTCAGTGCTCGTTTAAAAAGTGTAAAAATCACACATCCAGGACCCTAAAAAAGGATGGAATTTCCTATTTTCGGTATGTATTAATATTATCGTTATTTAATTGTTATCACTATATTGTAAATACTTATATTTTGTCAAGAAATCCCTAAAACATTTTTTAAATTAAGTCATAATAAGTAAGTCATGATTGTTCGAGAATTATGTGCGTTGACTCTGTTCCATTTGCTGGAGACGTTATTGATTTTAATTTTTTTTATTATTTAAGTTTGATTGTTTTTTTGTTTAATGAGACTTCTTTATTGTTTCTCTAAATATTATAATAACATTTTATTGATTTAATTTTGAATATGTGCATGTAATAAAATTAAAGATGTGAGATTTTATTTTTAATTTTTTAGCTTTCCTCGAGATCCATTTAGGTGTAGAGAATGGATATCAGTCATAGCACGTCAGAGATCTGAAGAATTCCTCAAGCCGACTCAAGGAAGCGTTGTATGTTCAAAGCATTTTTTAGAAAGTGATGAATATGTAACTACGAAAGGCATCAGAAGGCTACACAAAACAGCTATACCGCGAATAGTATGTGGCATTTTAATAAATTCGGTTGAGTTATTTATGCACATGAATTATTATTAATGTGTTTTGTTTATAGGAAGCAAATGATCATGATGTAGAAGATGAGTCTTCTTTTGATAAAAAAGCGATTGAACAATGTTCCTTGCAACCACAAGTAAGTAGTTGTAAATATAACAATGATATTTTTATTTAATAATATTTTCACAATGTGTTTATCAATTCAAACTTCAATGCGTAATGAATTCAGGGGCTTGAAAGCACAACCTTAAATTTATTTTGTTTTGTTTCTTACATGATAGTTTTGATTATTTTTAAAAGTGATATGACGATATAAATAATTAGAAAATTATAAATTATCTTGTGTTTTATTATTGTTGTTTCATTTCAGATAAATATTGAACCAAGAGTTTCTGAAGTTCTTGAAAGCCCAACTTCATCTCTTAGTATTGGCTCAATTCTCGATACACCAAAAAAAGTTGCTTTGAAGAAGGAACTTTTTGCTTGCAAAAAGGCTTTTAACAGTAAAGAACCACAAATTATCAAACTTACGCAAACAAAATAAAAGACTAAAAAAAAATACAATAACTTAAAGGATGTTCTGTCTCTATTAAATAAACGTCAAATAGTGGATCAGTCATTACTTCATGACCTATCTAAACATATAGAAGTTACAGACACTTTTAATGCTATTCATTTAAAGAACGTAACAGGCAGAAAGCGACCATTTTCTCAATATCCACCAGGTGCCAGAAAATTCGCCATTACACTACACTTCTATTCACCAGCCGTGTATAAGTACATACGAAAAATGTTTGACACTTGTATACCTCACCCGAATACTTTATGCAACTGGTACAGAAGTATAAATGCAGAACCTGGTTTTACAGGAGAAGCGTTTGACAGACTAAAAGAAAAAACAGATAAAGCCAAAAAAGAAGTAATAGGTGCTATAGTTGCTGACGAAATGTCAATACGACAACAGAAAATATGGACTGGTAAACGTTATGAGGGTTTAATTGACATGGGACTTGGCAGCACTGACGACACAAATGACATTGCCAGTCAAGTATATGTCATTATGTTAGTGGGTGTAAACGAATCATTTAAAATACCTATAGCTTATTTTTTCATTACAAGTCTGACAGCTGAAGTAAAGGCCAATTTACTTAAAATTGCTTTAGAAAAATGTCATTCAGTTGGCGTAAAAGTGATAGCGTTGACTTTTGATGGGTGTAAATCAAATATTTCTTGTATGAAAATCCTCGGTTGTAACATTGACGATTGTATGAACATGAAAACTCATTTCAAACACCCCTCAGACAATTACGAAGTGACTGTGTTTCTAGATGCATGTCACATGATTAAACTTATGCGTAACACATTTGAGTCCAAAAAGATAATCAAGGATGCTAATCAAAAACTTATAAGATGGGATCTCATAGGTCGTCTTCATAATTTACAGGAAGAAAAGGGACTACATCTTGCTAACAAATTATCTCACCGCCACATAGCATTTAGAAATGAAATAATGAAGGTGAAATTAGCAACGCAACTCTTGAGTCGATCTGTGGCTAGAGCTATCGAGTTTTGTGAAAAGCAACTACATCTTATCGATTTTAAAGATTCTAGTGCAACAGCAGACTTCATTTTAATTTTAAATAATATTTTCGACGTATTAAACACTAGGAATCTAAATGATCACGGGTACAAAAAAACACTAAGTGTTAATAATGCTGATAAAATAATTTCATATTTAGTGAAAGCTAAAAAATATTTAATATCTTTAAGTATCGATATTCGACGGAAAAAAACTATAAAAAGAAAAAATGAAACAAGAGTGGTTTATACTTCGGAAAATATTCCGTTATGGAAGTGCCAAGCGAATACTGGTGTGATTGGACTTTTAGTCTGCATTGAAAGCTTAACATATTTATGCAGGACTCTGGTCGAATCTGGTACCTTTTCTTTTCTTCTAAGTTACAAATTTATCCAAGATCATGTGGAACTATTTTTAGGTCATTTGCGAAGTCATGGTGGTCATAATAATAACCCTAATGCAGTGCAGCTAAAGTCCGCTTATAAGAAAATGCTAATTCATTTAGAGCTAAGTAATAAGTGTACAGGAAATGCTATACCGCTGGAAAATATTCCAATTTTAAGTGGTAACAATACAATTTCCGCTCTAAATATAACTTCAATAGGATATCGCTCAGAAAATGAAATAGAAATCAATAACTCCAGTAATAACTTAGAAGACACACATATTCAAGATAACTGTGACATATTATCGTTGGAGCTCAATGAATCCGAATGTAGATCCGAATATGTCGATCAAATCGTGGGATATGTAGCTGGAAACGTGGTACGCCATTTAGTAAAAACTATGAAATGTGACGCATGTGTAAATAGTTTATTAGCTCGAGATAGGCTTTTTTTTTCACAAACTTATTGATATAAGAAACCTTGGGGGACTGTTTTTTTCATCTCTAGATGTATTTCTTGTTTGCAAAAAAACAGAAGTTGCAATTATACACTACCACATGTGAACTAACAAGAATTTTGATATTTCTCAAATTTGCAGCATGGTATTGTCATCATTTTTAAGTGTCGACATATTTTCATCCAAGTGTCACGATAATAATCATAGAGTTATTACAATAAAATCGATTACTGAACGGTACCTTAAAGTAAGATTACATTACATAGCAAGAAAAGATACGGAAAAAAATTAAATTCTATCTAAAAGACGATTATTTAATAAACTCATTTTATTTCAAGGAAATTAATAACATAATTATTCTGTCTTAACCAGTATTGTTTTGTAACCTCTGTAAATATGAACATTACGTCAAAATTTTTCACAATAATATTTTTAGATTTTACAACTTTCTGTACATACTTTTTATATTTGGTAACCATGGAATTTAGATTTAATAATAAGATAATAATTTAAGCAATACTTTTAAATTTTTTTATTTAAATAAATAATTATGACTGTTTTATGTACTTTCATTTCTAAATGTATGTAGTATCCTATTCAAAAACATATTTACATTCAGGTTAATTATAAGCATTACACATAATACACCAATTACTACACCAATTTAAAAAAAAATTAACAACATTAAAATTTTAAAATTACAGTAACAAAAATATTGGGCAGTTCGACTCCCTTATTCCTTGTCCAAGCGACGAGCCTCGGTCGTAAAATTTAATTTCTTTTTATTGGCACTTTGTAATTCTGACTTTAAAACATGCGTATAAGAATGAATTTGTTTTGATATAGGTTGAGCAGCATGTACAGTCATAAAAATTTATTGCTTTTTGTACGTAGCTTTTTGAATACTACTATACACCATGCATTTAAGGTTGAATTTACATTAATGTACGTTTATTTCGACTAGAATTACGTCAAACCGTTGGGGACAGTTTTTAGAGAACTTTTGTATGGGATTGTGTATCTAGTTTAATATTAGAGATCGATGAGTAGGTATCAATATTATGTATTTTGGAGAATTTAAATGAGCGAATTGTCGATATTGAAAAAAAAAAAGGGTTAATAAAATACAAAAAAAAATTAGATAATGAAATAAGAAACAATATAATTACATAATTTTTTATCGGCTAATTTTGTTTTCACTGGGCATAAACAGTGGTTGCAAATTATTAAGTATTTTTGTTCACTATAACATAATACACATAATATATATAATGGTATCTAATTTATTGAGCAGGAATATGTCTTGCACATAGAGTAATTAGACATAGAGATATAGTGTCATTCAAAATTCCGTTCAAAGTTGAAGCAACAACGCAATGAATGTGTGCATAAGTGCAGCCTATAATTACGTTTGCCCACACGCACACTAGCAATTGAGTAATGTTTGCAAGTAAATGACGTTTTCCCCAAAAAATGGGGAAGTTGTAATAGTAGACAGTCATAGAATTAATACTTAGGTTGCGTTTAAAATTATTTATTAATTATTTGGTAAGAGAAAAATGTAAAATTACTTATATTTGTTAACAAATGTTTTAAATATCTTGTGGTATAATATATATTCACAAATCTAAAATGTCATTATATTATTCTGTTAGAAGTGATATATTTATATAAGTATTAAAAATATTATTAAATTAAAAATATTTATTTAATTACTTTTGATACCCAAGTACTTAAAAAATAAATAAAAATACCGGTAATTTTATACTATCGCGGTTAACTCGTTTTTTGGCTCTAAGAAAAACAAAAAATCATCCCATTTCGATGATTAATTCTTTTTTTTAATCTTCATTATTACGGCAGATTTATGAAAAATAACAAGAATAAAAGAATGAAAATTTATATTGGTTTCAAGGCTTTAAATGTTCATGAAAATGCACTCATTCACGTATAGTTGTTGATAACTTTTTTCAAATAATCGAATAAAGTTATTTTATTTTTTTCATAATCTACACAAAAAAGAACAATTAAAAAATATGTTTGTTTATAATTTTTTATTTTATTGAGTGTAAGATCGAAAGATGCGAGCTCGGGACTTAGGGCATCCCGACTCGGACAGGTTAGGTAAGATGGAGCGAAGTGAGCGAGCGAACGAAGCGAGCGAATAGACCCCGCCATCTCCTTCGTGGTTATTTTTTTATAAACCACTCAGAGTCGGGAAAGAGTTGGGGGAGGGAAGCATCACGCCACTCAACGTAGTGCAGTCGAGGGAAGCCCGGTCGACGGAGCCTCGCTTCGCGGGGCTCCAACTTCTGTGTGCTTTATAAAGAAATAACCACGAAGGAGATGGCGACAGGATCTCCTTCTAACCTAGCCTGTCCGAGTCAGGATGCCCTAAGTACCGAGCTCGCTTCGCTAAAAAATTAATAAATAAACATTAATTTGTGATTTTTTTCAATTTTATTTTCAAATTTAGATTAAGATATAGCACTGTCAAAGATTGAATAATTTTTTATTTTGTTACAAGATATTTTGAGAATAATAAAAGTTATTGATTTATTTTTGAATATAATACATAGGTTATCCTTTTCATTTTGATTTTTTCCGTAAAACGAAAAAAATTCACCGAAATCGGATGATTTTTCGATTTTCTAGAGCGTAATGTTATCATATACATTTAAAGTCAAAAACTTAGTAAGATATAAAATTAATAAACAAAAATTTTCAATGCCTTTATTTTAAATTTTTTTTGTGTAGATTAAGAAAAAAAATATACAAACATCGTTCAACGCTTTTCAAAAAAGTTATGAAATATTAAAGTCATAAAACTGTATGAAATCTTGAGGTGAGATTTTTTCTATATTTTTTTCCATAAATCCGCCGTAAAAACGAAGATTCAAAAAAAATTCATCGAAATCGGATGATTTTTTCGATTTTCTAGAGTCAAATAACGAGGTGACCGTGATAGTATAAAATTACCAAATGCCTAATTATGCGTGAATATTGTAGGTACTTTTATTTGCAAAATAAAAATACAACAACATAGTCCCATATTGGTAGCATGTAATTACAATAATAAGAAAATATGGGGTAAAATATTTTACTACGCCTAGCGATATTTT